GATATTACTGCTCATTCAAGATGATTTACATTCCCTTGAGTCTTGATGCTGCACATGAGTGATAAACCTCTCGACTAAGAAACGAAGCGTTATGTCTTACGGCTGCTGCCTCCCCGAAGGATCTATCACCCTAAACAATGAACGCGACCCTACACAGTTGTCCACGCGAGAGCTTGGCATTAGGTACTCGTCTACCCTTCATTTCTCCGAAGAAGCCCAATACCAAGTAGTACCTGCCAGACAGTCGATGTTCAATATATCAAACAAAATACACACCACTCGTGCTAGAGTTGAGATTTTTAATCTACGCACTCGCCCCATCACCGAATACCGCAGCATAATATACGGCAATAAGAGAAAGAGTGACAGAATTGCTGTGGAGCACCTGCAGAGGTCATTTACTAAACTGATTAGTAAACACTAAAATGTGTTATAAAAAACGTTGCAATGAACTTCATCTCGGACCACTTTGGATTCGACGAATGAAGCACAACTTGTTGCTGCTTTTCAACCTGTTACACAAAAAACCTATTCGAACCTGCCTACACTCTATTTACAACATTGTTCAACTTGAGCGCTTCGCAACAAAGATTTTACATTGCATATACCGAAGGCTAGAACGAAAGTCCGCTCTACTTTTTTCCTGGTCAGGTACAGCTATCTGTGAAATAAATTATGAATAACACTCAGATCATGTGGCAACATTTAGTAGCAGGCTCGCCAATTATCTTGATCTAACTACCCTAAGCTCTATATTCACATGGGAAAAATCCCTCGACGAGCTATTCCAAGAGGGGCCAAAAGCATATACACACCAATGTTTCCATAACTAGTCTTTGGCCTCAACCATCCGCCAGAATGTTAGTCCATGAAACGCATATCCCAATACTCCATCTATGCATGTCACCCATGCAAGAGCATGGATTCTTCTGTATAAATTGATCTGTGCCGCTATAGACACAGTTTCTCTCATCAAGAGAAATATACCTATTATTATTATTATTAGCAGTAGTAGTATTATTCCTCTGCTTGATGTCGCAGGCTATTACATAAAGCTACGCAAATCATTTTGATCTCGTAACTTTGTCTGCAAGAAGGCATCGATGCATTGCAACCCCGAAACAAAACATTTTTCCACTACAACCCATTTTAATACAAAGGAATCGAACCGACAGCGTCCACTGTAACCATTCAGTCAGCTTCAGCCAATCCAACTACTCATCAGTAATCAAAACGTATGCCCGCACTGTCTTTGAAGGCTATCTCCTTCATGGCTAGTGTATTGTGGAAGCCGTTACGGAGGTAACGACCAAATACTGTCATCTGAAGTTAGTAAGCTACGTGGCAGTGAAGGATATGTCAGCCTGAGCCGCGAGGATAAATTGAAACATCAGCAGGATTTATCGAAGAGATTCTGCTCCAACCACAAACTACTTTACAAGCATGTCAACAAACACCGTAAAGTACAGCGTGGTATCCATTCTGTGAACACCGCATGCGGGCAAGCGCAAACTGCACAATAAGGGGCCAACGCTCTTATACAATAATTCGGTTGTAATTTCCATTGTAATTTCCATTGATATTCCTCACTATTCTTACATCGATCTCGACACTACCACATTTCATCTACTACCGCTGACGTACTGAAGCGACTGATGTCACTGCGTGTGCACAATTCTCCTGGTGCGAACAACTTACACCCAAGACTATTGAAAGTGGTAGTTAGCAGCTTGGCTGAACCGCTGTCCCGATTTTTCCAACTGTGTCTAGATAACATACAGGTCCCGGCCGTGTGGTAGCAAATACTAGTCACTCCCATTTACAAGAAGGGCAAACGCGATGAACCAGCAATCAGTCGCCCGATAACTCTTCTGCCAGTCCTGTCTAGTTATACAATCCGCTATTGCAGAAGCCCTCATGGAATAGTTGAAACGATGCAATATCATCGTACCGGAGGAACACGGTATCTGGCGAAACCGCTCATGTACCACAAAGCTCTTGTTAGCCCGTGTCAGCTGGACGGATTCTGTCGACGCTGAGGAGGGTGTTGATGTTCTGTACCTTGATTTCTCGAAAGCTTCATAGGGGTGGAATAGGCGTCCCCATGCTTGGTTGGATACATGCATTCCTGCTTCAACTTTGTCTAACTGTAAGATTGTGTAGCGCCTTATCTGACCGCACATAGGTGCGACATGGCGTCTCACAAAGCTCGGTTCTAGGACCAAGGTGTTCCTCGTCTTCAGTAACGACCTGGTGAGAGTGCTCGATTCAAACGTTTTGCTCTTCGCGGACGATCTAACGATCTGACAGACTATCAGGACGGTAAATGACAATACGACACTAAAACGCTAGCTAAAAAGGGCTCACTATTGGTCAGTTAAGAACATGCTGAAAAACGCTGCCACATGTCGAGTACTGAGTATATGCCACCAGAGAACTTACGCATACCGGACGGGAAATCACCTTTTTCAATGAGTCTCCGACAAATGGGATCTTGAAGTGGTCGTTCAGGCCGATCCCGGTTGCACAAAACACGGAAAAAATCGGTAAGGAAAGCCCATCAGGACTTGGGTATCTTACGGAAAGCGTTTGGCCGGTTTGATCATACCATCTTTTCACAAATTTTCAACGTTTACTTGAGACCACATGTTGAATACGCCATTTACTTCTGGCACCCCCTAGCAAGAACATGATCTTTCTGCTCCTGAGGCCCCACAAAGAACAGCAACAAAAATGGTAAGTGTGTGACTCATCTCCCTTACCAGCACAGACTATAGACTAGTTTTCGATGGTCAATACTGTCACCTGCGCGGTGATGTTATTTTGGCACTTGAGATCCTAACTGATCCAAACCACTCATATCGATACTTACTGAAATTAAGTTACTACACCTCATGCGGAGTCCACCACTTGACGTTAGCCACACAGTGCAGCCGGTTGGAATGTCGCCGGGAATTCTGCTCACTTCGTGTATCCCGGTGATGGTGCACTCTTCCAATTTCTGTCAGCTCCGTTACTACATCGATTTAATTCGAAACTCAACTTAATGAAGCATTACACTACATGCACTACAATGCTTAGCCAATGTTACTGAAACATATCACGACAAGGTCAAACCACATGCACAATGAAACTTTGGTAAGTAAGTAAGTAAATTCTCTGTTCTCAGACAATGCGAGACACGTCTGTATAGACATGATCATGGTAAAGGTACAACTAAAAAGCAGGAACCTATAGAAAGTTTTGCAGCTTTGCCATTAACATTGAAGCTGTGAGTTTATACATGCAGGTGTTCTTGTTGATACCTTCACACCCTGTTTTCACGCTTTACCTGCGGGAATGGTCAAGCTTTGCTTTTTACCCATGTTAATTTCACTGATCCGTTGATTCATTGATGGATCCATTTCGCGATATACACCGTGGCTGAGTGGCATAAACTGCCGAATACTAAGCGCAAGCTACTAGAGGTCACAGGTTCGGTTCCTTGCAGTGAACCGAAGTGATGAGCACCGTTAACGAGCTACAATAGGGTGAAACGATCGTCCGGCGCTTCTCTGGGTTGGGTTTAAATTATCGCGCGTGTGGGGCACTGAGACGAACCGATAACTTTTCATGCAAAATCCTCCTACTCATCAGTAATCAACTTAAAGGATATTACGTGACATCACCTGCCTCCACAAAGGCTGTTGCTTCTATATCGCTGTTTCTCGCACTTTCACTAACTGTTCTAGGAACTGAGCCATCTTGTGTTCAGCTGTAAGTATATCTTAGTTTGCGAATTATTTTTTATGTTTTCGTTATTGCTGTGCAAAACGCTTTTCAGCAAGACTGTTTTGTCTCGATTTTATCTTGAACTACGCTCTTGGAGAAAAGTTCTTATTTGAGCCAAGGTATTACTAATTGGAGATCTAACATTGTGTGACAAGTTTTCGTTTGTGTGGAGGTGTTTGGGGCGTTCTCTGAATGCAACTGGAGTCACTGCCGTAATCTCACACTGCCTTGCCAAACATTCAGTAAACACATTGGAAACACATTCAGGACACAAACATGAGTGTTCGTGAGCTGAGACTGACAGCGTGTTTCAAATATTAAGGCTTCATTTGCAAGTATTCTCCATTTTGTGCTGCGAATTCGCGAATGTAAGCAGAAATTCGGTTGTGTCCCATCTCTTCGTTCAACCAAGACTTTGGAAGCCACATTTGGTACCCGTGCATTTTGTATAATGGAGGTATATTCGCTCTCTGAACTAACGTCACATCCGACAGATGCTGACAGTCTAGCAACCACAAGGAACGTATCGCTAGCGATCTTTTACAAATCCATACACACTATGCGGTATTCCGCCTAACAAAACCTTGAGATATATAATGCAACTCGTTGCCGGTTATTGACCACCAAGCACTCTGGCTAGACTTAGCAGTTGGCAGTCCTTGCGAGCAATATGTATACTTTCGAAGTGCCTAAACAGTGAGTCTCGTCTCGTTCCTATCTATTTACGAACGTAACAAAAAGAATACCCAAGTTTTCGGCGGTTCATGTGGTAACTAAACCTTCCCCCAGTAAAAACATCACGGGTTGGAACCCATTTTCAGCCATCTCTAACTGGAGATCATACGCAAGAAGCAAACCGGTGATAGAGAACAAAGCCATATGAATGAACAACACCTAATGTCCACATACCTCAGCTACAGCTCACTGGACTGGTTTCTTTAATGCAAATTGTAGTTCCAAATACACTGTGTCGCAATTCAACTACCTAAAGATATCTACGGAGACAAATATGAACTTCGGGATGCTGGTAATATAAGTACCAGTAGATTAGTAGTAGTTGATGAAGGGCAGACGATTATATTAGATCTGTTTACTTCCAAAAACTGTCGCATCATCCATGCTACATGTCGTAATCATTTTCGTACGATTTATAAAAGATGCATGCACACGAGCAAGCAGTGAGACGATGACGCGGGGAAGAATTCAACAAACATGAATTGTAAACGTACTACGGGCTAATGGTGGCGGACTCCGGCGTATAATTGCGTGTTCCGTTGAAATGGGTTGTAGGATCACCGTACACAGGTGCAAAATTCTTCATATGCTCGTCTTGGGATAAAAGAAAGCGATATAGTAGAGGGAATCGTGAACACGCAAGCAATGGAAATGCACCTTTTCCAGCCACAATCGTTGAGAGGAAATAAAATGATGATTTAAACGTAAAATTGGTGCAAACAAACCTTTCAGTGAATCAACAATGACACTTAACCTATTAAATTGGTCAACACACATTGTTGTGGATTTGAACGGAGGCAGTTGCAAGGTTAATTTTTTGATGGTGATTCCACATCTGAACTCCACTTTGTTCTATGAACCCTAGTTTTTAAGTTACTGCCTAACACATCAATTTACGCTTTTGGGTAGGTCGCCAACATTAATGAGATAAATTTAGGGGCTAAAGTGTGAGATAACCATATTTATAAAATAAATAACACATAACAAACATGTATCTATACACTTATAATTAGTACGGCTTTATTGCAACAAATTTCGATGCCAGCAGTAAAGCGTTATGGGGCAGAATTGGTGAAATGAAAGATTTAATGGGTTGCCAGAATACTGAAGGTAATTTGAAAAGCACGGTAAGAAGACGAAAACTGGTAGATGCATACATTTCGTACTGTCTCCTCAGTACCATTAACAATAACCGGTATGTAACTATATACTTAAATATGTGTGGACCGAATAAGCATGAGGTGCAAAATGAATGACGGAAGTTCCACCCCTATGTCCACGGCAGTCTTAAGCTGATAAATAATTGCTTTTGGACACACAGGGCCGGCTTCAGCCGGCTTCTGGCAACGGCCTCGGCGAATCGAAGGAAGTGGGGATTAGGGTGACGTAATGCAAGTGTGAACGCTGATCCGAGCTCTATCCGGTGTCGCGTAGTCAGTAGGTATTTACCTATTGCAGAAGCTGGCGGCTTGCGCAAGCACGGAATTTCAGTGGGACAGGGATGCTGGTCAGTTTGACGTTGAACCCACCTTGGCACGTGTTCCTTTATTCGGGAAGTCAAAGACCGATTGGTTCTGCCTATGTAACTGTCTCCGCTGTCGCACACGAATTTGTATATGCAGTGTGAGTTGGCCCCTATCGGTTGAGCTTACTTCGTTGGAGGCACCGACAAGTTACAGGTTCTAGTGATGACCACAACCTGAGCAGCACAGTAAATTCTCTGCGTAGCAGAGATTAAACGTCTCGTGGTTTTCAATACAGTAAAGTCACCCTTGAATGGCCCTTGAATAGCTGCCGTATGCACCAAGTCTTTCGGGCCTCGCTGTTGACTGTGTCTCTCTATAAATCTACGTGGATAACCGTTTGCAACGAGTGTTGTTGTAATTAACTCTAGTTCGTCGGACAGACAGTCAGCAGAGCAAATTCGTTTAACACGACTAACTAAAGTTTTCACAAGGGTCCGTTTGTACCGCACTGGTGGGAAGCTGGTGAAGTGCAGGTATTGGCCGGACCATGTTGCTTTTCTGTAGATAGACCTCTTAATGGGCCCGTCATCCCTGCGACTGATGAGGATGTCTAAGAATGGCAGACAGTTCTTCTGTTCCACTTCGCAGGTGACCCGCAAGTTGGTATGTGCACTGTTGAGTTGCTACATCAACTGGACAATGTGCTGCTCCAGAGAACAAAAGGCCAATATGTCATCAACATAACGCTTATAGTATGGCAACTGGGCTATTTCTGTGGATATGCCTCTTTCTACCATCCAGCATGAAGAAATCAGCAAGTACAGGGCCTAGTGGGCTACCCATTGCCCACACCATCGATTTGTACGATATGGGGTGTTACTGAAAGTGGAAGCCAACATTTGCTGTACACAGCAGTAAGGATTCGTTTAGAAATTCGACTTGAATTGGAAACGAATAACTAGAGTACTCAGCTAGCTCACATATGTATTCAGGTATGTATGAAGGCAATACAAATTAACATGCGGAATATATGAAAGCAGATATACCATGAAATAGGTCTTACTTTCTCTGTTAAAAATTAAAAGGAAAAATTGATAAGGCTGTGTTTCGTATTTATTGCCTACCGAGTAATCCGCTAAAGGCAGGAGGGCCCAGTCCCAATTACCGTCGTTCACACCATTGCAAATTCTGCATCTCATGATTGATCAGTGACCAAGAGGGTGACTTTGATTTACCTATACCTTTTTCGCGGTTTGACCCAAACCCGTCATGAAATAATCGTGATCGTATCCCGATGCACCCGTGTGACTTTTAGGTAGGAACCCGTTGTGAATCACCAATCACAGGACACCGTACGGCGCTTAAGACATCCACCCCTGGTAGCTTATCAGGTCATGCTCTGTTGCCTCTCTTGAAAGGTAGGTGATGGCGTGGACGACAGAGGAGATGAAATACGAGGTTACCGTAAAGGTCGCAGAAACAGAACTTGAGTGTGGAGTCCTGAACATTTAGAAATTAAGCACATTTCTCTTTATGGCATCCAATTAATTTAAGCGGATTGCGCGGTTTAGTTTATCAACAATCCTAGCATTATTTTCACTCAGTTAACAAGCAATCTTATTCGGCTGACCACCGAATAACTTTGACACCGTTGATACGACAAAGAGAAAAGGGCTCAAATTTCATTTTATACACTACGCCAGTAAGCCGATAACCTGTTGGCAACCAAGGTTATTAGGGTTTTGCAGCAGAGGATGTGCATAGACCAAGTGTCCGACTGAATGACGTACGTATAATAAATAACACTGATAAACAAGAGGAAAGGTTTTAGGGTAGTTTCTTGTTTCTATCTGCACTAGACACGCTTTGTTTACAGTGTGAGACTTACCACGAAGGCAACAACATTTGAGCAACGTGGTGCTCCCAATTCAGTAAATGCTACCGGAGCTCACGAGAACAGATATCTTTAAGACCCAGCCTTGTGATGAAGAACATGATGCTGTGAACAGTCTTCGGTGCTACGGTCTCCAAATACCACGACCTAATGTACACTTAAAACTTATTTTGAAGGTAGTTGACCGATCACTGCATCAGCTTTGCTCAGAAACATATGGACGATCTAAACAAGAGTAAACCATGCGAGTTACTCACACATGAATTGTATTCGTGTTTTCGAGCAACTGCAATTTAACCACACCTTAAGATAAAATAACACTGGGAATGGACTTCCCATTCATGTTGCCGGTGATGCGAACAATCGGTTTTCAGAGTAGAACTGCGCGCCATTTCGCACAGGAACGCTAGCAGCAACTTTTAGAACAAACCAAGCGTTAAATAGGAGATGGAAGTGCTGGGTAATCCGCTGAGCTCAATGATGAACGAACGCTGGCGTTGTAAAGTGGGCTGGCTCGGAATCCAGCTTCATATTACCGGGATTAAGCTAAGCACCGCGGAATGTGCAATTGGTAAAGTTTCCAAATGGTGCACATACTAGCCTATGATCTCACTAGCAAATTGAAATAAAACATCTTGCGTATGCGGATCGCCTCCTCGGTTACAAGGAAGCCAGAACCCCCTAAAAATTAGACTGCAGCAAATTGGGTAATTTGGTACAAACCTGAGTTTGCCAACCTCATTTCTGCACTGAACGACGATGTCTCCTACTGTCTAATTGAATGGCAGTAACCATTTAATTAATCTGCACTTCCGTGGCGCCTGATCATGCCAGCACACCGACTGCAGCGTCGCATGTCGTTTGTGCGATCGGGGAGGACAACCGACGACATGATCAAATGGAAAGTAGGCCCATAGTTCGAAGTTGTCCTCCGTTGGAGCCTCTCGACCACCTGGTTGAGGTCCGAAAGACGATAAACACGTTTGGCTGGATACACAAGTGGATATTGTAAGCAGCCGACCTCAGTCGCGTTTGTTGTGAGTTCCTTTGTACCTCCCCATCCCGCTTTACATCACCCTCCAACCGCAATCTTATCACCGCAACACAATGGCCCAATGTTAGCCCACCGGAATGGTGTTCATCCGTTGCTGGTAACTCAGCTGGCGTACCTGCGTTGCAAATTTGTTCCTTTCTCGTGTATTGCGGCACAATAGCTGCGCTATTTCTTACTTCTAGCTGACGTGTATACTGAAGGTATGAATGAATATCACATATCCACCCATCCAATATCCACCAACCTAAAACAAAATTCTTTATGCCACAGCCTTACATTGCCGCGAGACGATAGCCAAGAAGGAAGTCATAATCAAACTACTACGAATTACTAACTTCGGCATGTTAACTACGAGGAAACGATTGTTCTGTATTACCTGCTGCCAAAGATGGAAGTCAACCAATAGGAGCCAATTCCAACTCTTATGTAAGGGTGGGATGAACCTTTAACATGTGGATCCCTTATTGATTTGTCGTGGGCAAAGGTGGACTCAGCCTGAAGCGCGCTACGTCGGATGTCTTCTCTAAGCCTCACAGTCCACCCCAATTATTGTTTGTATTACTGCGAAGCCTAATATCTGATCAACATCTGTCACAATGAGTTTAAAACGATCAATTTCATTTACAGTTAAGATAGGAATACAATAACATGTAAGCTTGAAATTGATTCGCCTAGTTCGTGTAGTCCGACCGGTCACAAGTATGTGACTAAACGATATATCAGAACTAAGCTCATGTTCTGTCGAATGATGGCCAATGTAGTGGTGACGGATTAGTGCATTTTGTGACACCAAGACGAGTTCAAAGGCACAAATAGCCATTCCTGTACGCGGACTTATCGACTGATATTGCCTGAGCTGTGAAATCACAGAGCACTGCTTGACCGGAGATCCCCGAGCTTGTCCTCAGGAATGACTTGAGAGACATGAAAGTAGTTGAAGTTCTTGGTTTCTGGGGCTCTGGTTCCTGTCACAGCAGCCTAAAGCACTTAGTTCCTTCAACAATTATGTTTGCGCGAAGTAGGAAAACAAATGTGAGTAGATGCAAGTATATTGGATTGTTTTCACTACACTACCAGCAACAGCAGATACGCATATGTAGACACACACACATCTAACAATCGGTGTGATCTAGAAAGCCAAAGTTGTAAAGCGAATGACGAAATTCAGAATTCTAAATCCATGGGCACCAAAGGCCAAAAATCAAGTATTTTCTAGCGCAAACGGATGGATTTATCTGTCGAACTGGAACACCGTCAGTTAGACGAAAACACGGTAATTGCTTTGAACCAGTGCCATTTTGAAAGCAATCCGAACTCTGTCCGTTGATCCGTGGCCAGTGGGTACCTGTCTGTTGAGGCTAACTTCCTTTTGCCAGCGATAACCAGATCAGTCGGATGATGCTTACACTGGGTGTTCACAATATGTTAACTGTATTATCCAGGGTTCTACCGCAACGTGAGACAAATGAAATGTGCGCTACGGTTGATTGCCCTAAGAACGAAACGGTCATTCGGTGCTTTTCTGATGTCGCTGCCGATTGATTGTCGCTGTGACAAGTTTAGATCAAAAATCCTCTGTAATCCTTAGACTGCCAGGAATTTAGCAGCTGAGCTTACGCCATTTTCTTTGTACCCAAGGCTTGTTTGGTCACATTCACTTTTTGGTACCAATACATTTATGTATATCAGTTACTGTTACTTAGATGGTGAGAACACTTGCTCAGCTGCGAAATGGCAAGTGTAATGTGGCCGACGGGATCCCGCCTGAAGTATTGAAAGACGGTGGACCCGCGTTGTTGACTGCGCTGCACCACTTGGTGCAACGCGTGTGGATTGAGGAGGAGGTGCCTGCTGAGCTGAAGGATGCCCTTGTGCTACCACTGTACAAGGGCAAAGGTAGCAAGCAATGTTGCACGAATTATCGTGGCATCAACTTGCTGAGTTGTGTGGGTAAGGTGATTGCCCGAATCCTGCTCAACCGCCTCGTCAGTCAGGTTGTGGAACCTAACGTGGCGGAAGAGCAGTGTGGATTCCGTTCGGGTCGCAGCACTATAGATATGGTGTTTGCGACTCGTCAGTTGCAGGAGAAGTGCAGAGAACGACACCAGCCGTTGTACTCGCTTTTGTTGATTTCACCAAGGCATTTGATACGGTGAACCGCGAGGCATTGTGGCTGGTGTTGGATAAGTTTGGTTGCCCGCGTAAGTTTGTAAGTTTAATTGAATATCTGCACAGTAGCATGCGAGCGAGGGTGCAGCTGAGTGGAGAGACGTCGGAGGACTTTGAAGTTATCTCTGGTGTGAAGCAACGGCGTGTCTTGCCTCCTTCCCGGTTTGATATTTATCTTCATGCAATGTTATCTTGTGCTTGTGTTGCCGTTTTTGCTTACGGTGTTCGTGTGGCCCACCTTGTTGCTGGTGGATTGCTGAACATCCGTCGTTTCGGTGCGAGAACTCTAGTCTGTGAGACAACTATCCGTAGGTTGCTATTTGCTGATGACTGTGCGTTGTTCGCACACAGTGCGGATGAGTTGCAGCACATGACTAGTGCTCTGGCTTCGACAGAGGCCAAATTCGGGCTCACCATCAACACGAGCAAAACTGTCTGTGTCTTTCAGCCTTCACTGGAGGTGCAATCGGTAATGTTGCCGCAAATCAGCATTGGTGCTGAAGTATTAGAAACCACCTCCCGCTTCTGCTACCTTGGGACTGTGATGTCGACTGAGCGGCAGATACACAGTGAGCTACGTATCCCTGCGTCGAAGGCAGCCGCGGCATTCGGGAAGCTTGAGTACCGATTGTGGAACAACCATCAGCTCACCATTGGCACGAAGCTGGTTGTGAACAAATCCATGGTGCTGTCCATTCTTCTATACGGCAGTGAAACGTGGACGATGTACCGTCGGGATGTGCGATATCTCGAGCGGTTCCATCAGCAGTGTTTGCGACGGATTTTGCGCATCGGTTGAGGCGACAGAGTTGCTGACAAGGAAGTGTTGCGACAAAGTGGAATATATGCAGTGGACTGCATACTTTTGCTGAGTCACCTGAGATGGCTCGGTCATGTGAGCCGTATGGATTCGACGCGGATACCAAAACAACTCTTATACGGTCAGCTGAGTATTGGGAAGCCGCATGTGGGGAAACCAAAGTTACGCTACCAGGACATGATCAAAGTGAACCTCTCACGTTCTAATCTTGATTGCAGGTCATGGAAATCGAAGGCGGTTGATCGGCGTGCATGGCGCGATCCGATCACGAAGGCAGTTGCCGAAGTGCGGGAGAATGACCTCATACATGCAGAGAAGAAGCGACAAGTGCTGAAGCGGCAAGCAACGATGGGTTGCACTCCATCGATATCAAGCGCATGGTGCTGTAGCACATGCGGTCGCGAGTGCCTGAGTCAGGCAGGCTTAGTGAACCATGAGCGAGGCCATTCGGGACCACTACCGAAGCGACGACGGGTCCTGCAGAGAATGTAGGCAGAAACGGCGCAGCGTTTGTAGGTACGCTGCACTCGATTTACTAACCGCGTGCTTGCAAGCTAGGTCTTTTTATTTTAGGTGGTGGGTTTGCAATTTTGTACTAATGCTTTTCTTTCTCCTAGTAATGTCTACCTGCACTATCTTCTATAAACTTGCACAAGTCGCTCAAGCTAATTGTAATTAATTTCCATAACATTTTCGTGTTTGTGGCATTTCCATAAAATATACTTTCTTACCTCGTGAACTTATCTGGGATTCGTTTATAAACAACTTATTTCATACGCTCATTAATTTAAGATTTATGTCACCGTTTCCCTATGCATTACTCGAGTTATTTTCTTTGTTATCTTTCCCTCAAGTGATTGGCTGTTGCTTGATATCCCCGGTGTGGCTGCGCTTGATGTGGAAGGTGCCTACAAGTTGCCTACCTGTCTATTACCCACTACCTCTTCCATACTGGCTCCAGGAGACAGTTGGTCTTTGCTGGAGGGGACGGGGTGCACGATCCTGTGTCCGTGTTAGGATCAAAAAGTGGTTCCATGCACTCAGTATGGAGCGGACTGCGATCCAGCCTCCGCCTTGTATGCGCTTTTTCCCCAAATACAGCGGGCTTGTGTTTGCCTGTGAAGGAGTGTAGGCCGGCTCCGTTGATGGGACGTGGCTCTCATTTACATGCCTCTCGGTCTTATTCCTTCGGGTTTATACTGGATTTGTGATGTGTGGTTGGAGCTGTGTGTGGTGCTGCGCAGGCCACCCATGGTCCCTATGTAGGCGCAGGCGTCCTGTGGCTGGCCACAGTGACAGACAAATCCGAAACCGGATGCCACACTACCAGAAGGATTAATAGAGGCCGATTCTGTGAAGTGTTTTAAAACCGCTATCGACGATTATTTTGGAAACCTGTGCTTTGTGAAACGATGCACATACAGTGCCAAAAGAAGACATTGTATGTCCGGAAATAATAAAGCAAGTACAAATTTCTAACCGAACACGGATAAACGATTAACGGACCAGACACAACTGCTGATAATTCACAAGTAAATTTTGATTTTCGTAATTCGATAGAGTTGTACAGAAACCTTTCTACTCGCTCTTAAATACAGTCTCAGTCACAGTCTCAGTCTCAGGTTCTAAACCCAGAGCTGTGCAACAGCGCACACTACTGCAGGTCCTGAAATTGCCTTGGCCTTGAACTTGTCATACGACCTGCCTTGATCACCTGCTTCCTAATGCGCGAAGCTGATTGATCAAACCATTGATTTGGTTTTCATACTGCCCAGTTAATGAGTTGGTTGCTCTCTGTACAGGCCTCTACAGGCTTTATTCTCTCCAAAGAATTTTGCTTCATAATTGTACACGCCCGATGAGGTTTTATATTTGTTGAGATGCCTACTAAAGAACAAGAAGTGGTAGGACAACTGTAATGACCCCCTAACATAGGCCGTGGAACCAAACTCCTAATAGTAGGATATCTAGAACCTGGTGACAGTTTACGAATTTGAAACTTTTTGGGGTTGTGGCCGCCCACATTTCCTACCCAAAGCTGAAGCAGAAGTACGCTTTAACGTGAGGCTGGTAGAGCACTCATAACATCAACCATCATGATTTGGTAGATATGTGCGATGTGTAGACCGTCTCCAATCTAAATCGAGCTGCCGGCTTTTTATCTTGGCCACAATACTGTTGCTGTGTGTATGAAACATGTCTAAGCAGGCCTTTGTAGGGGGCACCGACGTTGCTCAGCATTACTGCTAAGATAGTGCTGACAGTTCATTAGCTTCGTATGCTGCCAGATACGGAACATCCACCAACTCAGATAATGAGCCAACCGACGCACGATTGGTAACTTATGTCATGAATAGCAACTTAGTGATGTTCATGCTTCTCCGCAAGAATGAAGACGAATATTTATGGTTTGTAGAAAGTAGAAGTCACGATTAAAATTGACGCACAATAATATGCCTCGACGGGGAGTCGAACCCCGGTCCACGAATTTCCGGTCCGCTGCTCTACCACCTGAGCTACCGAGGGCAGCGGACCGGAAATTCGTGGAAAGGGGTTTGACTCCCCGTCGAGGCATATTATTGTGCGTGAATTTTAATCGTGACTTCTACTTTCTACAAACTTTACCCTACTCACAAACTTCCAACATGAATATTTATGGAGGTGAACAGCACACACAAACTGATCAAAGCTTGCACGCCTAACCTATAGCTAATTGTCAGTGTATACCACACAGACGGGCATGTTAGATTCCCTAGCTACATGGTAAAACTGAATAATATTAAGGAAGTTTCTCATCATAGCAAAAACGAATGGGGGAATCGTCGGGTGGCTACAGGGGTCAGTTGATACATTGTTACTGAGGTTGGGATTAAACAGACTCTCGGAATGAGCGAAACAGCGACTAAACAATAGGCGTTTGCAATACGCAGTTAAATCTATCTACGAATATATCGCTTCCAGTTCAGAAAAGCCGTTGCATCTTTCAATGAATGCTCCATGGGGTTGATTCATGTAAAAATGAGATAAAAGATTAACATTTGAATTCTATCGTGAAACATGCATACCCGCAGTTTCTGGAAGCAGTTTACAGCAACAGGACGTTTATAAAGCTAGTATTCCATGTCCTCCTGATAGCTTTAAAATATAACTGCATGGTCAAACACTACATGAGAATTTTTCATTTTTGCCAATCGGAATTGTAATCTCATAAATCCCAAACATATCCATAATACAAAACACGGAACACATTGTCATGAGCATGAAAAGAACTCAGCAAGTTTCATGTATTTCTCGTCGAATCCTAAAGGAATGCTTTTATAACCATATAATGCATTATCATGCGTACTAAAATACACAACTCCAATGGGAACATATCAAAGAGCTTATCGGGCGTTAATCTTTTAATACGAAGTTATAAACGCTAGTTTCCTCCACAGTATTCGTTATGCATAAAAATGTCAGTGAATCGCTTACCTCAAAACCACGTAATGTATCTTTGAAAGACTGCAGTGGCACATCGATCCCAGCAACCCCAAGTAAATTTCCCTCCTTTAAGCGTACCTGTTACAAGTGAAAGAAAGGAACACACGTAAGGACGCAGTAGCTAGCTTGACTTCTCTCGCTCTTACTTCCGCACGTACTTCAGTAAAAATACCCCAAGTTAACGACTAAACAGAGTATCAAAACCTTGTTACCACAGCCAGTGCAAGGGCTTGTAGCATCACTGACTACTACGCAACCAGAAACACGACCAAAAACCGCTTAATGATTATTACTGTCCAAATGTACCGGTTAGTAGTTATGACTCTGAAAAAAGCCAAACTCAATGGTCAAACGTTAACAGTCAGTCAGGCACTAAGTGAAGTAAACTCCACATATTGTGAATACAGTGGCCATTCAAAGACCTGGGTGATGATCATCTATAAGAACCTCGTCATGCTATCCATGTATTGTTGTGTGGGAGAAGATTCGCATTGTGAGATGATGATTTAGGCAAATTTGACGGTCATATGCACGCCTATCCGGAAACATGTTACAGCGTTGACACCATGGATTTGTTCCTGATGTGTCGCCTGGGAGGCTGTGTTTGAGGTTGCTATTCCAAACGATGAGGGTGGATTAATGCATACTGGGGAGCGGTGTCGATCATGAACCAATCACCGAATGGGATCTTTGGACTGTTTCAACTGATAACATATCCCCGGCATAGACATCAGAACAAATGTTAGCGGACAAGTTCGTTTTCAACGGTTCATCATCAAGCTAATACACCACGAATTAATGGCATAAATTTAACCAACAGATAAGGGCAAAAGTTCAAAACGGTCTGAGTAACCAAGCTAGGTGATTGGTCCCACAGCGATGAGTGGTGCGTGTTTTATCCACACCATGTGTCAGCGTTACAGGATGCCAGGGTAGAGTTAAGGCACGGACAAATTTCTTATGCGCACATAGGTCAGGCTTATGGAGGCGAATGGCGATCGCTTCAGCCGCTGCCAAAGCTAGTGGCTCAAGAGGATATTCAGTGGGTATTAAACAGACATGAATGATAAAATGTCGACTAGTCTTGTGGTTAAAAGTTTAACTGCGTGTCTTCGAATGGTGGAAAAGTGCTGCTTCCAGAGGTGGACTTTCACAATCCATCAGTGCGCTGGATGTGTAGTCTGCCGGAATAGTTCCGGTGGAATCCGTTTTCTGGCCCTTAATCACTGACACACGCGATCGCGAGACTAGTCCCTATTGTGGGCGCTGCTCGGAGATATCGCATGGAAGAGCTTGCCAATATAGTCTGTGAGCTGGGGAGGAGGAACACCACGAAGGTGAGGAGTAGTTGGGTAGATTGGATCTGATAATGAAGCACATAGCTTGAGACTTTGGTGCACCATGTGTTCAGTGTTCGGAGAAGCGCTCACATGGATGTTGCTTCCTATTTGGGAAACTGGGACATTGGAAGCAATGACGCCCGGTGAGGAGCGCTGCATCACTTGCGCCAAATACATGTGTCCAATCTTTTTCGGGTTAAGGGATGCTGAATAAGGAGGCGATTGAGGCGACGGTGGAATTAGACGGGGTGATTGGGTGGCGTGTGAGTGTTACGGGTACTGCAGGGTCTCTGATCAGCTACCGAGGTAGTGAGAAAGGTCAATCGTGCTCCATGGTTATGAAGACATCAAGGAGGTACGAACTACATTAGGACCCCCTCGGCCAAACAGAGCAACAGAGAACATCACTGGGGCTTTTAAAGGATGGCTGGCAGCGAAGAATCTTATGAGGGAGCTTTACTTCTACTTTTAGTTGCTTGCTAAGTGTCTAAACAAGAAAGAACCAAGAAATAACCGGTATTGAAACTGAACTCGGCATCGTGTGAATGTAGAAGGGACAGCATGACCAACCTACCAGATACCTCCAAAGGAAGTGCAGGACTACAGAAGGCAGCTAGCCGTAACCTAAAAACAACCCAAGCGCGGAGGATGGAAAATCCCAAGCCAACAAAGAGAAGTCGGTGGGTGAACTTCCAAGAAATTCGAAGACCAAATATAGAGTACGTCAAAGTGCCCCAAATTCGGTCCACGGGAAAGAAAACGTCTGTCGAGTTGGAAGGGGCCGTACGGAGCAGCCGTCTGGCTAGGCCCAGTGTAAAAGAGCCCTCAGTAGATGACACGGATTGGAAAGTAAACCCATTTCGTACAGTGAACAAACAGGAAGGTAGTAGTTGCTCGGTGCAAAAGCGACGGAAGCGAGCAATTTAAGGGGGAGGAATGTGGCGGTATATGATAGTACACCAGCAGTCCGTAGTACAAAGGCAATAAGCACGCTGGACGGTCACAAACCAAAAACTAACAAAACCGATCTTTCAATACTAGTATAAGGCCTAGGAGCCTCAGACGAGTGTGCTAGAAAGAAATACCGAAGCAGCGCTTAACGGGGCTTCACACAAAAATGCGTGACGTGAACTCTGAGAGTGTTCGCGTATGGACGAAAATATTCGTGGCCAGACAAATTACATATAGAGAATCCTCGGTGTCACGTAGTGCTGTCTACGCAAGGACATACGTAAAAGCGCAGTGTTCAAAAAAGCTTGTGATTATTGACGTGGTATCACTAAATGAATAATGAAAAATGAACAATGATGTATTACAGGTAAAAATGTGATTGCTGTACAAGTCACGTAGGATGATTGAAGTGAAAGTAAACATAAATACAGATCGTCAATTTAAGTGTCTAGCAATTCAGATGCTCTGCTTCATTAATATATTTTAGAATGCGTATTGATTTGTTACTGTAGAGTAATATGAGGAAGGTATGTTTTAAGAACAAAAGAAATGACAACGCTCACTCGTGCGCCGCCTTCTTGGGCTGATGTAATTAAATACATAAATTAAATAAATTTGTTTATTTCTCGAGTGTATGAGACACGGCCCAGTAGGTTGGTCAGATCGAATTGTACGATACTTTCGCAAATTGTTTGATGATACAGATAAATGGAAGAAAGAACGCATGGAGAACTTGTCATTTAACATGGTCAGTCAGATCCTTTGAGAAGTACAATGTCAATCACAAATTGATCAGTAGCTCGCGATGATATTGAAATATAGCATTTTTATTCATTCATATGCTTGCATGCACTTGGTACGCTGTAGTCGGGAGCGGCTTACACTAGCATATTTCGTCATGTATCAGTACGCAATCCATGGGAAAAACAGCCAGCCGTATTGGGATATTTCTCCACAGTATTTGGACGAGCCTCAGAGGAAAGGACATGTTCAAACGGTAAAACGGTGGACAGCTTAAACGATTTGTAATCAAAGTAGACTGCTGTGGATTTTTGTCAGTTTTGACAGACCTCGATATAACAGAAAGGGTGGAATTGATAATCCACAATAGAAGTGGCTGTTTCAGACGTGCTCGAAATCGAACAGCTGGCTGCCGAAAATCCCACAATGGTGCCATCCTTGATGTTAGTTTTGTTCACCCATGACTTACTTTTCACCAGTGGTGGAAGCAGGTCATCCGAATCTGCTGGTAACGCGTGCTTCACTGATGCGACTGCACTGGGTGGAGCAGGTAAGGATGGTGCTCCTGACAAAGTTTCTGCTACACTTTCGGCCGCAGATAAAACGGACTATTCTGTTGGAGGCGGACATGGCGAAGCAGGTAGCGAGGTTGCTGTTAAAAGAGCTTGGCGTAAACCCCCGACTTTGGGATGCCTACCACAAGGTTTAGGAGGCGCAGTTGACGTGGCCACCACAACGCTGTCGTGTTTAGCCACGAAAGAGGATGCCAAGACAAAACACGAATGTGCATCATTCCGGGTTACCTGTGCTCTGCTCATCATATCTTCATGCGCCAGATCATCAAATGCGCTGGCCAATACGTCAGGGTTAACTTCAGCTGATAAATTTTACAAGTCATCAAAGGAATCCGAATGTTTTACTTGACCGACTGTGCTACTTCGGCCACAGGCCTATTGGGAACCATACCTGCCAACGCGTGAATCATTGGGGTGGCCACAGCAAACGAACGGACAACCTGCTCATAATTGTCCGCCACCTCCTTAAGTAACGCCTCTGAGTCATGATCCCATGGCTCCGGTGAAGTATGAGATGATGGAGGAAGAACTGACGGTTGCTTGGTGGGAGGAAGCAAAGTTTGTTGCCCCGATTGAGTAGAAGGCATTGCCGCAGGAGGCTCTGAGGACGCGGGTGCTGAACTTGTGGTATATCAGAACGATATTCCACAGCAGCAGCGTGTAAGTAGCAAAGCACAAAAGCTGAGAATAAGTGCCGTTTGGTAGCGTTTGGTTGACGTAAACATCACTGATTATATAGCGTAATGTAAATGGATGAGCAAATCATCCAGACGTATTTTGAAAACCGTTAGCTTGGGGGAAGAAACAACGTATGTGGGAAGAGGCTTCCAGGGTTAGCACACACGGAGGGAAAAGAAATTCTTGCGGGATTCCAACCGGCTGTATTGTGTGGCCAGCTTTAGCTTGTGTTCTCTGTGCGTGATGGTGCGATTCACCTTTAGTAGGTGACGACAAGAATGGTTTGGATTCCTCAGAATCATATAAGTCATTAGCAAGTCGTCACGCAGGCGTTGATATTGTCCACTGTAGACCCCGAGGGTTTTGAGCCTCAATCGGTAAGGGAGATGAAACAGGCCCTTTACCTTTTTGATCGCCTTTCGCTGTGGCATGACTGCCAGGCGTGGATGGCACACTCAGAATGAGGCCGAATGTAGGCGTTGAGCATCTGAGAAAAGACGGAAGGATCGAAGTGCCCGAATGCCTTCTGCAAAAGGCCAAGGTGTTAGTTAGCTTTTTTGGAGGTTTTCTCGGACTGACCAGCACAGCCCAGATCTTCCGGCACTATCTTGCCTAGATTGCATTCCGTTAAAGAGCGCTGTAGTATTTGATTCCCCATTATATTTTCGCAAGTTGCTTTGTGGAGTATGCTAAAGACTTTGCACTTTGTAGCGTTGAACTGAAGCAGGTTCTGAGTCGACCATTCGTAGACCCTGTCAAGATCATCCTGAAGTGCTGCATTGTCGCTGGTTGT